CAGGAGTCCTCAGAACAGATCCCGGAAAGAGAGAGGTGGGAACTTGTAGAGAGCACAGGTACAGTCAGTGTTTCCTGTGCCCACAGGATAAAGCCCAAGTGCCTTAGCCTGGCCCTCTGCACTCTCCAGCTCCTGCCCCAGAGGCTCTTGGCCATAGCCAAGTTGGTTTCTTTACTGCCTTCCATATACAACATGCCCCTTCCCATCACCACGCTTTTGCTGTATTGTGACTCTGTTTCAATAATCTTACTTCCTGTCTATACAAATCCCAAACTGCATTTCTTCCTGGAAGCCTTCCCTGAACCCCCAGCCCCTCCCCGTCTGTCCCTCCCCTTCCATCTCCAATCTCCAAGTTCTTTTTTACAGCATGAGACAGGGGTGAGGAGGGGCTATTAGAGGACCTGATTTCGAGAGCCTGCTCTGCCAAGTATTCTTCCTGGATGCCACTTCTTCTTTTAGGACTTCAGTTTCCTCTTTCGTGAAGTAGATGTAGTAATAACCCCTGTACCAAACTGTTTTGGGAATTAATCGACATGGCGGATGTGAAAGTGCAGTGTAGACCATATAATGTTGTACACGCAGGCGCAGGTGATATTGGGGGTTGTTTTTAGTGTTTACACGAGGAAAAGGAGCCCCGGGCAAGGAACTTGCAAGATTCTGCCTGTCTAAAAGGCGAGCCTGCTCCTGCGTGATAAGGAAGGCAGGACAGTTATCAGTCTATCCCAGCCCTTCCTACTTCTATTTCTGGGGCAGCACCGCACTCCTAGCATCCCTCTTCCTCAGGTACCCAGGACCCTTCCATCATGCTTGGAAGTCCCTCCCACAGCACTCTCTCATAGCTTGCCTAGGACTGAGAAAGGAACAAGGAGATTCTCTCATTCTCTTTAGGCAGCTTGTCCAAAGGAAATATTAATATAGCTACATAGGTAATTCTAAATGTTCTAGTAGCCACATTCAAAAGTAAAAGAACTTAATTTTAACAATATATTTAATTCAATTATATCCTATCTAGATACGTTGTAGATATATTAAATATATTTAAATAAAATGTGTTATATCTAATATATCCACTATATCTAAAACATGCCCATTTTAGTATATCATACATATAAAAAAATTAATGTCGACGTAAGAAACTGCCAAACCCGTGGAGAATTTTTATATGAGTTTATGTGAGCCAAAAGTGGTGATGATTGCTGGAAAGCAAGATCTCAGATACTCTGGAGAATGACAATTTTGCAGTTTCTTTTCGGCATTCGAAAGTAAAGAGAATGTAAGGAAGATTGCATGAAGGTGAGAGAAAACAAGGGGGAGTTGGACTACAGGATGGTTAAGATTATGTGCTCTCTGGAGGGTGGTTTTCTTCTCAGGGGTTTGAAAAAGACGCATTTTAAAAGTGCGTTAACCTAGATGCACAGAAACGATGGACAGGGCTGGCTTAAGGCAAAGATAAACCTTTTATGATAGAAGTTATAGGCCTGGGGCAGGACTGCCCACCACGACTTGCCCAGTTAGCAATTTATGATTGGATCACCCTGTGAGGTTACTTGAACTTGTCAGATTTATGATACAGTCCCTTTTTTATTCACATTAATAATGAGACATTATTCATTTTTTTCATACTAAGTCTTTGACGTGCAATGTGTATTTTATATTTACAGCAAATCCCAATTAAGACTAGCCATATTTCCAGTGCTCAGTAGCCACGTGTGGCTTGTGGCTGCTGCATCAGGCAGGACAACTCTTATGTATAAATGAGTAATAGACCCAGTGTCTCACCCAGAGAAATAAGACTCAGATGGGGGCATTTCAGGTCCCTTTACCCTATACCACAAAGGTGCCTCCTAATTTTTCAGTCCTGATCCAGGGCCTCTGACTCACAGAACTTAGCAGATAAAGCTTGAGCATTTTATCAGACAGGCTTGAGCTTGGATCTTAGTTCTGCCACTATCTAGCTGTGTAATATTGAGCAAGTTACCTAACCTCACAGCTTGTTTGCTTAAGTGTGGAATGTTTAAGTCTCCTTTCTTTTCAGGTCCCAGTGAGGATGGAGTAGGAGCATGCATGTAGAGCCAGTGGCTTGGCTTATCTAGAATCACTTTCTGCTAGGGCCCTGGGTACTCAGTGTAGACCCTCTGCCCCACTCTGAACCAGCAGCAATCTGAGAGCTTGCTTAGAGCACAATCGTATCTCCTGTAGGTGTTCCCATTTTTCTTCCAAGAGCCTGGTGTTGGCTGCACCCACTGCCTGTTGGAGCCATCACCTGCACTATTTTTTTCCCATAGACTTTATCAGATATCTGCTATTTTGCCCCAGGCCCTGTGCAAAGTTTTGAAAGAGAATAAGGTAAACATGGTCCCTGTCTTGCAGAGCTCAGAGTCCAGCAGGAGAGAAATAATGAACAAGGTCTGACTGAGTCACAAGTGTGTGTGAGATAGATAGTTCTTTATTTTCTCTGAAAATCAACTTAACTTCTATTCTAATGCCCATCCTGCTTAATCAGACAGTAATTCAACTTCAGCTTTTCTCAGGGTTCTCCCACCAGGGTTAAGCAGAGGTCCTGCGGTCTTACAGGGTGCCAGGCACCAAGGAGGACCCACCCCCACCTAGCAGGCATCAGCATCAGTTCATCCTCAACATGCTTAGAGCAGAGGAGTTTGGAGCGGCTGAGAACAAGGGAGCCCAGCCTCTCTAGGTCAGTTTGCAGCCTGGCCCTCAGAGGGGAGCCGCTTCCTTGAGTAATCTCAGAGGCTATACGGCTCCCTGCTGCTCAGGGAGCCCTCAGATTGCTGGGTCCCCACTGGACCCCTATCCCCCATTCTCAGAGGTCTCCCTCTCTCCTTGCACTCCTGGCAACACCCAGCATAATTTTCTCAATGGTACTCAGGCTTTGGAAACAAACGCCAGGAAGGAAAATCTTGCAGCCAAGGATTGCTCTCTGCCCTGCCACAAACCTCCCCTGAAGTCAGGAAACTCAGAGCCCACTGCCTGCTGAAATAAAAGAAGAGAGGAAGGGAAAAGCCCAAGGGGGAAAAATACACAGGAATTAACGTTTAATTGAATTTCTCTGCTGTGTGAGGCCAGCCAGGAGCCAGCTAGAGTGAGAGAACCAGATGAAGGTAGCTTAGAACAGTGCACCCCTGGGTGGGGGCGGGCATGGAGGTTTCGAAGTGTGGGAAATTCCAGTATTTGCCTCCTGCGTCTTCCTTAAGGGAGGCAGCGGCAGGGGGGTGGAGC